ATTGTCCTCAGAGATTCCACTTAGAAGGTCAGTATTTGGTTCTACTGTACTGACAGTATCTATATTTTTAAGAATTTTTTTATTACTTTTAAAAGCAGGATCATTATTTATATATTTTATATATATATATATATATATATATATAATTAATATAATTAATATAATATATATATATATATATATATACACACACACACACATATAATGGTATGTTTATAGCCAAATAATAATAAATAATACATTTTGGGATGGAAAAACATGAATCTGCTTACAGCCTAATGTGATTATTAAACTTAAAATGCGATGATTTCTATAAATAAACGTGAGCAATGTTCAAAGTCAAAACGCAGTGCTGTTGCGCATTCAATGGGCTCACAGGTTCAGAGCATTTATGCCAATAGATTGTCATCATCAGTCATCAGTAGATCCTAAGCAATGTTTACTTTATGGTCTTTATACTGTACTAAATTGTAGATAGAGTGCTTAATATAACTATTGTTTATTGTTAGGTCATTTTATCTAACAAATGGAATCTTATTGTAAAGTGTTTTTAATATTACAGTTTCCATCTATGTAACAGTGATATCATATACACTTAATGTAATCTTATCTGCGATTGTCATGCGTATCTTTCAGTGAAGCACGGTTCTGTGATCAGCAGTAAATCTCCATCCAAAGGCCAGAGGGCACTCTCGCGCTGAAACTCCAAATACACCTCGCAGAAGAAACCCAGGAAATGCAGCAGACTTAAACAGGTAGCGCAGCTGTGACCGGACACAAAAATGGCAGCGATAAAACACAGTGATGTCACATGGTACTTATGGATAGCGGTAGCTGGATAAACAGAAGATTTAACTGCTTTTATTGATTCAACGTGACTAATAAATAAGAAGCCGCATCATCTCACAGAAGGATTTATTTCAAACACTCGACTGACATTATGAAGTGAGTTTGGAGTAAAATCATGTTATTAAATGTCGTATTTCACATGCTTTTAGATGGAACAGCATTTACTACACAGAGCCGTAGTTCACTGAGAAGCTACACAAACAGATGTCATTATCGCAAACGATTACTTCGATTTCATAATCACGCAATAATATAGTATGCGATTTTTTTGCGTAACTTGTCAGTGAACTACGGCTCTGTGTAGTAAATGCTGCTCCATCTGAAAGCACGTGATGATGATTTACTGCTGATTACAGAACCGGCTTTACTAACAAAATGCGCATGACAATCGCATTCGATTAATCGTGCAGCCCTATTCTAGAGCATATTTGAGCGCACACTCCTACCTTCAAAAATAGGCGAGGCGCATATCTTTACGGTACATTCACATGGGGCGTCGACGCTTGATTGAGGGCATTTCTGAAGCTTGGTGCTGACGCGACCGTCATAGTGACAACACCCAATCACATTAATTTTCTGGTGTTGTATGGCGAGTGGGACTGTGGGCAGTGCTCGGGGTGGTGACTGAAGGCGGTGACTGTGTAGTTCTGACGTCAACTTTTTACGGAAGTCACAACGGTTCGTGAAAAATCACAGCTACTTTAAGCAGGCTGTGTGAATTTTACTGTGGTCTGACTGTTTTGAAACTTGGTAGTTACATAGCACCTAGACCTCAGTTATTGTGAAAAAAGCCAGGAAATTTCAGTTTTGACAATATGGGACCTTTAAATCTAATTGCTTGTAAAAGTGCATGTTGCATCATATGACCCCTTTAAAAAAAGTCGTAAGAAAATCAAATCGTGAAATCAGTATCGTGAATCGAATCGTGAGTCGAGTGAATCGTTACATCCCTACTGGCTACTGTCATGTTAAAGTGCCCCTATTATGCCATTTCGAATATTGCCTTTCATACAGTGCGTAATGCAGCTGTATGTGAATGTAAACAATCTGCAAAGTTGAAAAGCCGAAAGTGCATGATAAATAAAGTTATAGTCTCCAAAAAGAAAGAATCGACTCTGAACAGCCTAAATGAGTCGTCAGTAATTTCATGACGTCTACACGTCACGGGGTAAGGAATATCCTGCTCCAGTCGTGCTTGCGAATCAGTGTCTGATTGATCAGCTACTTCAGATGTTTCATCATCGGACTATGCTTGATACCATCTTTTCTCTCTATACATTCTCTCTGGAGCGGTCATTCAGTTATGGCAATAGGCATTTCGTTTCCAACACGCGCTGTGCACAGTAGACCAATAACAAAGGACTGGGCCATCTGACCAATCAAAGCAGAGTAGGCTCATTGAAAGGAGGGGTTTAGAGAGACTGAATCTTAGAACTGCTTAGAATGTATTTTATGAGAAAACGAAAGTGTTTTTGAACTTGCATGCATGTAAACCTGTTGTAGGAGCCTACCAAAACAATATTAGGAACCTTAAAAGTAGCATAATAGAGGCACTTTAATGGTGCATTAGGTATGATTCTGTGTACATTTAGCTGGCTCTTATAATAACAGTGGCATTTCACAGTGCAGTGGCTATGACTGTTGTATGCTCGTGCTCTGTGCTAGATGTTGCAGTATTTATCCTCGACCTGTAGCACTGCAGACTATGCTACAGCCTATATGTTACCATATTATGACCGATAACAATATAATAGTTATATATCATTTTGTCAAAATAAATTAAAAATAAAATATTAAAGGGGTCATATGATGCTTTTTTAAAG